AATGGTGGTTGTATAGTTGTTGTTAGTTGTGATACTCAATCAGAAAACAAGTTGCCTAACAGTTATATTTTAATTAATGGTTGTATAGTTGTTGTTAGCTGTGATATTCAAACAGAAAACAAGTTACTAACAATGATATTTTAATTAATGGCGGTTGTATAATTGTTGTTAGCTGTGCAGTAACTTATCACTACAGATGTATATGGTAAAGCAGTAAATTTGTCGCCACATATGTATATGTTGATGCAGTAAATTAATGCCACACATGTAAATGTTAATGGAGTAACTCATCGCCAAAGATGTTAATGGTGATGCAGTAACTAGTCACAGATGTATACGTTTGGTTTATGGCGAATTACGAAGTATATCAGAGTGCCATGCCGCTGAAGAAAGATTTATGGTTCAAGGTATATATAACACTCCTTTTCGAGGTAAGATATTCCTTTAGAAAGATTATTAAACGATTTAAACAAAGATACACAACATTTGAAATAAAGGAGCTTTGGATGTTCTCTATTGAAGCTTATACTGCAAATTTCTATGTCACAGTTGATTACCGTTTGAAGTAATGCTCTCCCACAACAAAATGAAAGCTATAGTTATGAAATAGAACATTCCGACACAAAATCCAATGCAATAAAGCTTCCAGCCACACCTCGAAATACCTCGTTTTACATGAGCAAGATAGCCTGGGTGGCCATACAGTAACCCCATGTAACTACTTACACATCAGATAATGTAGCTTCCATGAATTAGTCTCCTTGAACTTGGATTTGTAAGTCAAGATCCACGTACAGTGGACTATCTGGGGCAAGATGTGTGGTTTAAAATTGACCTCATTTGTTATAATGGAAACTGCAGTATCTAGTACAGGTGTGCAATCACGGCCATTGACCATAGAGTAGTTCCAATGACCATCAGATAGAGGCTGACTGATAATGGAGTTGTTTCAATGGCCATCAGATATGTGCCAATTGACCATGGTGTAGTTCCAATGGCTATTAGAAAGAGGCTGATTGACCATGTAGTAGATCCAATTACAATCAGATAGAAGCTGACTGACCATGTAGTAGTTCCACTGACCATCAGATAGAGGCTGTTTGACCATGGAGTAGTACCAATGGCCATTAGAAGAGGTTGGTTGACCATGGAGTAGTTCCAATGACCACCAGACAGAGGCAGATTGGCCATGGAGTAGTTCCAATGACCATCAGACAGACAGAGGCTGTTTGACCATGGAGTAGTTCCAATAACCATCAGATAGAGGTTGATTGACCACGGAGTAGTTCCAATGACCATCAGATAGAGGCTGATTGACCACGGAGTATTTCCAATGACCATCAGATAGAGGCTGATTGACCACGGAGTATTTCCAATGACCATCAGATAGAGGCTGATAGACCACGGAGTAGTTCCAATGACCATCAGATAGAGGCTGATTGACCATGAAGTAGCTTCAATGACCATCAGTGAGAGGCTGATTGATCATGTACTAGTTCCAATGGAAACATGGGACGTCGAACATAATTCTCATAACGTGATATTAACCATAAGAAGATGTGATTCTAAAGTAAAATACAGAGGGAAAACAAAATGATCTTAAAATTTCAAAATTAAGATAAATATTGTCTAACGCTCTATGGAGAGTACAACTGCTTTATCATAAAAGCACCTAAGAATTGACAAGATACTTAACCTAAATATTCATAGTACAGCTACTTTATCATAAAAACACGTACCAGTTCAGATGTTGTCGAAGCGTCAAGCAGTTTTTCAAACTCTCGGGGATTGGCTGAAGTTGTTGTGATGTAGTTATACATGATATAGTCTACGTCTAATATATTTCCAACTGGATCATAGAGAGTTAGCATCCCTTCTTTATGTTTCTGGATTAAATTTTCCACAGCGTTCCGTAATTCCTGTTGTGCAGCCTCAGTTGGATCTTCCTCGCTCCACAATGTAAAGGAAAACATGGTCCCTCCTTCATCTATTTAATAAGGAATAAATGTAAATGAAAACATGGTCCCTTCTTCACCTGTTCAATAGGTAGTGAAAGTAAAAGAAAACAAAGACCCTCCTTTACATATTTAATAGGGAGTAAAAGTAAAAGCAGACATGATCTCTCCTTTAAGTGTACTGGTAGGAGTAAAAGCAAAGGAAAACTGTTTAATAGGTAGTGAGAATAAAGAAAATATGGTCCCTTCTTTAACTGTTTAATAGGTAGTAAAAGTAAAGTAAAACATGGTCCCTCCTTCACCTATTTAATAGTGAGTAATGTATAGGAAAACGTGGACCCTCCTTCACCTGTTTAATAGGTAGTGAAAGAAAAGAAACCTTGTTCCCTCATTCATCTGTTTAATAAGTAGTAAAGATATAAATGGTCCCTCCTTCACCCGTTTAATAGGTAGTGAAAGTAAAAGAAATATAATCCCTCCTTCACCTGTTTAATAGGTAGTAAAAGTAAAGAAAGAACGGCCACTCTTTCAACTGTTTAATAGGTAGTAAAGTGAAGGAAGACTTAGTCCTACCTTCATCTAATTCATAGGTAGTGAAAGTAAAGGACAACATGGTCCCTTCTTCACCTGTGTAGTAAAGTAAAGGAAAAGATGGTCCCTCCTTGAACTGTTCAATAAGTAGTGAAAGAAAAAGAAAATTTGGTTCCTTCTTCACCTATTTAATAGTTAGTGAAAGTAAAAGAAAACTTGGTCTTTCCTTTAACTGGTTAAAAGGTAGTGAAAGAAAAGAAAACATGGTCCTTCCTTCACCTGTTTAATAGTTAGTGAAAGTAAAAGAATATATGGTCCCTCTTCACCTGTTTAATAGGTAGTAAAAGTAAAAGAATATATGGTCCCTCTTCACCTGTTTAATAGGTATTGAAAGTAAAAGAAAACATGGTCCTCCTTCACATGTTTAATAAGTAGTAAAAGTAAAGAAAGATATAGCCCTTCCTTTAACTGTTTAATAGATAGTGAAAGTAAAACAAAACACCTGTTTAATAGGTAGTGAAAGAAAAGGAAAACATGGTCCCGTTTTCAACTGTTTACTAAGTAGTGAAATTAAAAGAAAACATGGTCCCTCCTTCACCTGTTTAATAGGCAGTAAAACTAAAGATAGAAATGGTTCTTCCTTTAGCTGGTTAATAGGTTTAATAGGTAGTGAAAGTAAAAGGAAACATAGTCCTTCTTTCACCTGTTTAATATGTAGTAAAAGTAAATGAAAATATCGTACCTCATTCACCTGTTTAATAGGTAATGAACTTAAAGGAAGACATGGTCCCTCCTTCACCTGTTTAATAGGTAATTAAAGTAAAGGAACACATGGTTCCTCCTTTAACTGTTTAGTAGGGAATAAAAGAAAAAGAAGACATCGCCCCTTCTTCACCTGTTCAATTGGTACTAAAAGTACAGGAAAACATGGTCCCTTTTTCACCTGTTTAATAGATAGCGCCGTTAGTTATTATACAACAGTGTTTATCGTGAGGCACTATTGGAAGTAACAGTAAAGGTGAAAGTTTCGTTCATATAAAACTTCTAAACAGCGCTACTTTAATCGTATAAAACATACATATATATACTTGTAAACGTTGTTTTCTCGATATAAAACATATCTATCCATACTTGTAAACGTTGTCTTGTTCACACTGAACATGAATTAGATGAGAATCATAGAATGTGAATCAATATACAGTGGTTAAAAGCTTGCAAATTTCAAGTAATCTTTCCAAATGGTACACGTACATTGCTCTACTAGCATAACTAAATGTCTGTTAACCCATGACTGTAAAATAGGGATTCTAGTTTTTCACGTTTATAAACTTCTCACAATTCGAGGAGCACAAGTGATGTATTCCGATATTTACTATACTGTTTCTTGGATCTCTATTTAGGAAAGTATTGAAATATAACCGATTATTTAGGCTTGAAATAATCATATTCTAAAATATTTCGAATATTATAAGTATGATTATTTGTATTTGGGTATTTTCATTGGTCAACTGTTTTCATTACTGCGATAACGGATTGGTTACTAAGCGGATTAACTTACAAAGTCGTATAAAAAGGTAATGACCTAACGTTGATGTTCATTACTGCGATAACGGATTGGTTACTAAGCGGATTAACTTACAAAGTCGTATAAAAAGGTAATGACCTAACGTTGATGTTTTCAGATTTTTCGTTCTTTAACTTTCTTTTTGTAAGTGTACAATACATTGGCATACATTATTATTATATTTCTTCCATTTCTTGTGAAACAGTTTCTGGTGTAAAAATACTGGACATTCTAGTTTGTCCACGGAACCTACCTGACCAAACTGACGTCTCGTGCATCCGTCTAAGCGAAGTTCGAAGAACTATGGCCAATTGTCTGGCTATGTGGTCAACGAAAGAAGTTTCTTTTCCTTCTACTAGAGTAGTGTAGCTGTGATTCATCTTGACCAGAACTGGAAGGACCAGCCTGAAAGGTACTATCTTTGTAGCTCTAACAGTCGTTATTGGTACTTCTGTTGTTGTGGGTACTTCAGTAGTAGTAGGCTCTACAGTCGTTGTTGGTACTTCTGTTGTTGTGGGTACTTCAGTAGTAGTAGGCTCTACAGTCGTTGTTGGTACTTCTGTTGTTGTGGGTACTTTAGTAGTAGTAGGCTCTACAGTCGTTGTTGGTACTTCGGTAGTAGTAGGCTCTACAGTCGTTGTTGGTACTTCTGTTATTGTGGGTACTTCAGTAGTAGTAGCCTTCACTATTGTTGTTGGTACATCTGTTGTAGTAGGCTCTACAGTCATTCTGGGTACTTCTGTTGTTGTGGGTACTTCAGTAGTAGTAGCCTTCACTATTGTTGTTGGTACTTCTGTTGTAGTAGGCTCTACAGTCGTTGTGGATACTTCTGTTGTTGTGGTTACTTCATTAGTAGTAGGCTCCATTGTCATAGCTGGTACTTCAGTAGTAGTAAGCTCTACTGTCGTTGTTGTTACTTCGGTAGTAGTAGGCTCTACTGTCGTTGTTGGCACTTCAGTAGTAGTAAGCTCTACTGTCGTTGTTGGTACTTTGGTAGTAGTAGGCTCTCCTGTCGTTTTTGTTACTTCAGTAGTAGTAAGCTCTACTGTCGTTGTTGGCACTTCAGTAGTAGTAAGCTCTACTGTCGTTGTTGGTACTTTGGTAGTAGTAGGCTCTACTGTCGTTGTTGGCACTTCAGTAGTAGTAGGCTCTACTGTCATTGTTGGTACTTCGGTAGCAGTAGGCTCTACTGTCGTTGTTAGCACTTCATTAGTAGTAGGCTCTACAGTCGTTGTTGATACTTTAGTAGTAGTAGTCTCTACAGTCGTTGTTGGTACTTCAGTAGTAGTAGGCTCTACTGTCGTTGTTGGTACTTCCGTAGTAGTAGGCTCTACCGTCGTTGTTGGCACTTCTGTTGTTGTGGGTACTTCAGTAGTAGTAGGCTCTACAGTCGTTGTTGGTACTTCAGTAGTAGTAGGCTCTACTCTCGTTGTTAGCACTTCAGTAGTAGTAGGCGCTACTGTCGTTGTTGGTACTTCAGTAGTAGTAGTTTGCTCCAGTGTCGTTGTTGGTACTTCAGTTGTAGAAGTTGGCTCCAGTGCCGTTGTTGGTACTTCAGTAGTAGTAGTTGGCTCCAGTGTTGTTGTTAGTACTTCAGTTGTAGTAGGCTCTACAGTCGTTGTTGGTACTTCAGTAATAGTAGTTGGCTCCAGTGTCGTTGTTGGTACTTCAGTAGTAGTAGGCTCCACTGTCGTTTTTGGTACTTCTGTTGTAGTAGGCTCTGCAGTCGTTGTTGGTACTTCAGTAGTAGTATTTGGCTCCAGTGTTGTTGTTGGTACTTCAGTTGTAGTAGTTGGCTCCAGTGTCGTTGTTGCTACTTCTGCTTCTATAACAATGGCCCTAATAGTGAATAAATAAAACGTCACAGTTATTACACTAATCCACTGAGTAGAAATATTGTGGTAAAAACCAAATAAGGCTTGTATGTTTAATTTGATATGATGTATGATTATGACGTAAAAACTTACCCAACATAACCCAGTGCAGAGCATTCACAAGTTAGTATTCCAGTGTTTATATTAAGATTGGTTGCAACACAAATGTCAGTATTCCAGCTTCTGGTTGTGAGATGGAAAATTCCACACTTTGGATAAAAAATATAAGTTGTTAAACAGCTAATATGATAGTAAAAGCAATGAATACATGATTTACTTATTGTAATTATTACAAAGTTAACGAGATAAATAATAATCAAAATCACATTCTATTCATCAAGTTACACAGTGTATTCTTAAGCCACTTTCATTTCACACACTCCTGGAGCAGCTAGCTCCCTCTATGTTACATTTCATGTACCCCACTTTCTCGATTGGTACCATACGATTGGGACATGTTATACTCTAAGATACTGTATGTATTACAGATATGTTATACTCTAGGATATTTTATGTACTACAGACATGTTATAATCTAGTATATTGTGTGTACAACAGACATTTTATAATCTAGGATATTTATGTACTATAGACATGTTATAATTAAGATATTGTATGTACTTCAGACATGTTATAATCTAGTATATTGTATGTACAACAGACATGTTATAATCTAGGATATTTTATGTACTATAGACATGTTATAATTAAGATATTGTATGTAGTACAGACATGTTATAATCTAGTATATTGTGTGTACTATAGACATATTATAATTAAGATATTGTATGTACTACAGACATGTTACAATCTAGGATATTCTATGTACTATAGACATGTTATAATTAAGATATTGTATGTACTACAGACATGTTATAATCTAGTATATTGTGTGTACAACAGACATGTTATAATCTAGGATATTTTATGTAGTACATACAATACAATATCAATACAACAGACATGTTATAATCTAGTATACTGTATGTACAACAGACATTTTATAACCTAGGATATTGTATATACAACAGACATGTTATAATCTAGGCTATTGTATATACAACAGACATGTTATAATCTAGGATATTGTATACACAACAGACATGTTATAATCTAGGATATTGTATATACATACAACAGACATGTTATAATCTAGGATATTGTATATACAACAGACATGTTATAATCTAGAATATTTTATGTACTATAGACATGTTATTATTAAGATATTGTATGCACTACAGACATGTTATAATCTAGGATATTGTATATACAACAGACATGTTATAATCTAGTATATTGTATGTACAACAGACATTTTATAATCTAGGATATTGTATATACAACAGACATGTTATAATCTAAAATATTTTATATACTATAGACATGTTATAATTAAGATACTGTATATACTACAGACATGTTATAATCTAGTATATTGTGTGTACAACAGACATGTTATAATCTAGGATATTTTATATACTATAGACATGTTATAATTAAGATATTGTATGTAGTACAGACATGTTATAATCTAGTATATTGTGTGTACAACAGACATGTTATAATCTAGGATATTCTATGTACTATAGACATGTTATAATTAAGATATTGCATGTACTACAGACATGTTATAATCTAGGATATTCTATGTACTATAG